AAGAAATACCTCATTACCCCTTCTGCACCCAGCGCTTCAATTAGTTTCAGAGGTAGACAAGCATAATATACAGTTTTATCTTCTCGATCTTCTTGATACTAATATCCTGATTTTTAGCTAATTTCAGCTAACAATACGGTAAGAAGCTGCCAGGGTTGCTACCGGTAAAAAATTGTTGAGCCCCCGAATAAGAGAGTCTCCGCCATTACCACGGTACCAGCACAGGGTCTTGATGTGTCTCTAGAGACAAGAGACCCTCCGCTGGTATTTTGGCAATGGTGGAAGCTTTTACTTTCGGGGCTTCAGAATTCTACTGTTGATTTACCTACATGGTTGATGTTTAACAAAGTGTTGGCAGTTTCGTTTTGCAAACAAGCCGAAAATGGCCGAAGTTTGGGAAACTAGTTTGGTTCATGACGTCACCCAAAGCTCATCATCCACCATGTAGGTAGGTCAACAACCGAAAATAGGGTGATGAGCTTATAACTGTTGCTCCCTTATAATTGTCCATAAGGAAATGTTGAATCCCCAAGAGTAAAAGCTTCCACCTGTCGTCAAGAGGCCAGTGGAGGGTCTCTGGTCCCTGTGTGTCTCTTGTACATCAAGCGCAAACTAAACGGTTTTCCAACTTTGTGCGAGTGCGCGTAAAAACACTCGCAGCGATGTTATCTAATCCGTGCCGTAATCACTTAATTGCACACCCCGAGCAGCGTTCTCGTGTGGAAGTCACCTGATCCCGGTAGGGGGGGCTGGGGGGCACGAGGCGAGGCGGGGGACCGGCCGGTGGGGGCCGGGACTGCCCACGGCCCACCGCGCTGCTGCTGGGGCCCTCCTGGATCCTGGAGAAGGTCAAGCGGGCAGAAGCCTGGAAGGAAGGTCAGCCGGCTACACATCTGTCCCGTGTCGGGTGCCGGTACGCCACTCCACGGCCAGCCACGACCCACGCGACAAGACGCACGCACAGTGTCAAAAAGGCGGTTCCTTGGGCTTAAAGAACTGATCGGCGATCAGGATCTTGAAAATTCGAATGGAGCGATTTTTCTCTCTTCAAATCTGATTATGGGATCTGGACCGATTTATCGGGATGGTTGCATCTTTTCAATGGAAAATTGGACCGCGTTAAGCCGAAAGGAACCAAGCCACATCAGCGATTGCCATATCTGCCTGGACGAAATAATGGTTGACATGAAAAAGGTTGGGCAAATTTCAGTGAATTTTCTGTATAGTATGAATCAAATTCCTGACAAATTAAAAGTAATGCGCACAACCGCTCTCTTGTAAAAAATTTAATTGTCCAGTTAAAGAGCTTGATGCGAAAACGGCTTTTTTCGCCCCCCCTCTGGAATTTCTTCAGACTTTGTCTATTGATTACTCATACTTGAGCGCTTCTTTTCCCAAATTTTCAGACCCCCAAAAAATTTTGGGGGGGAGCTAGGGGGGGTGGAAGTCAAAACCTGTGAACCTCGATATCTCTTGAACGAAGACAGATATCGAGGTCCGGTTTGGACGAAAAATCGTCTAAAATTGCATACTTTAAGAGCCTAAAGGTCGAAATCCCGATATCATATTTTTAAGTCAACATATGTGCTTTTTTCCAGTTTTTAGGTCTAGAAAATTTATTTTAAACGAAAAATTTACAAAGATCTCAATTTTTTATTTGAACCAAAGCCAGTTTTTTAAATTGATCGTCTTTTTCCGCATCCAACGAGTGGTCCATTAAGCTGGAGAACCAAACGGTTCCGGAGTTATGATCGATTGAAGTTTCCGCTCAACGCGCGCCGACCGATTTTCGCGCGCAAAAAAGTCGAATTTGACTGGTATTAAATCAGATTGAATGTTCAAACTGAGCGAAATGCATTATTAGGGACTCTTGAGGGTCGCTGAGTTCAGAAATTACAGATACTTCCAAAAAATTCACGTTTTTAAAATTACAGCTCCGTACAGGACCACTGAGCGGCCGGTCGGCGCTCAGTGGGCCTCTAAAATAGCGCTACAGAGCTGTAATTTTAAAAACGTGAATTTTTTGGAAGTATCTGTAATTTCTGAACTCAGCTACCCTCAAGAGTCCCTAATAATGCATTTCGCTCAGTTTGAACATTCAATCTGATTTAATACCAGTCAAATTCGACTTTTTTGCGCGCGAAAATCGGTCGGCGCGCGTTGAGCGGAAACTTCAATCGATCATAACTCCGGAACCGTTTGGTTCTCCAGCTTAATGGACCACTCGTTGGATGCGGAAAAAGACGATCAATTTAAAAAACTGGCTTTGGTTCAAATAAAAAATTGAGATCTTTGTAAATTTTTCGTTTAAAATAAATTTTCTAGACCTAAAAACTGGAAAAAAGCACATATGTTGACTTAAAAATATGATATCGGGATTTCGACCTTTAGGCTCTTAAAGTATGCAATTTTAGACGATTTTTCGTCCAAACCGGACCTCGATATCTGTCTTCGTTCAAGAGATATCGAGGTTCACAGGTTTTGACTTCCACCCCCCCTAGCTCCCCCCCAAAATTTTTTGGGGGTCTGAAAATTTGGGAAAAGAAGCGCTCAAGTATGAGTAATCAATAGACAAAGTCTGAAGAAATTCCAGAGGGGGGGCGAAAAAAGCCGTTTTTGCATCAAGCTCTTTGGCAATAGCTGGTATGGCTTGGTTCCTTTCTGCTGAACGCGGTCCAATTACGTTATATTTTTCAACAATTTTTTGGGAGGGGGGGTAGAGGGGTAAAAACCTTCTTTTTTACGTTCAGTATGAAGACATTGAAACTGCAGATGGATAAAATACTACAACAAGGAGACAGACATTTAAGTGGGACATTTTTCGTTCAAATTCGATCCACTTTCCCAAGAAACTGTGATGGAGGGCGGACACACACACACACGTACACACCGTCACAGTAATCGCTCAAACTTTGAAGAGCTATACCGAGAGCTTTTCTAGGATTTCTGTATGCCTCTCTCAGGAAACTTATTTGATTCCTGAAAGGGACTACAGTGGAGAAATCTATAGAAATTCTCAATTTTCAATATCCCTTGGGTTTCAAGTCCAAAATCTTTCCCGAAAAAGTTGCTGGTGACTTAAAAGATTCCTAGGCAAAACAAACTCTTTGCTATTTACCAGGAAATTATTGCGGACCACGCTACACTGGAAAAAGAAGTCGCTTGGATCTAGAGTACAGAGTCTTAAAAACATCGACAAGAAAAATTACTCTTGATTCAACAGGATTTTTCTTGAATCAAAAGGAAATTCGCTTAAATCAAGAGATTCGGCTCTTCAATTCGATAAAAAATCCGGTTGAATCAAGCGTATTTTTTTTGTCAATGTTATTAAGAGTCTGGACTCTAGATTAAAGCGACTTTTTTTTCCCATTGTAACCTGTTTCTTTCTTATGCATTTCCCGCCTGGAAACACAGTTTTAAGCGATTTGTGGGCTCGATGAATTTTCTCGTTGGATAATGCCTCTCTTACGGTTACAGCCGATTATTCTCTTATTTTCTCCTTCCTTTTTTTAAACTGTGCGGCTTACGCAGTTGACAGAGGTGTCACAGCGATGAGAGGAAGGAAAAGAAGAGGAAAATGGGATTAATTATGCGCATAAGTAAAATTTCTCCGAATTTTTCGTCGTCCGTGCGGCACGAAAAATGTTGATGAAAGGAGTGGGAGGAATCAAATTTTTGCGACTGACTGGACGATTTCGTTAGCAACGACTTAATTACGTGCGATTCACACGCGCATTTGTCTTAGCATGAGCCCCTGACACTTTAATTACAGTCCGCACCTTGCAGAAATCTACTGAAGGAAGGCTTACCAATGAGATGAGAAAACCATTCTTTAGCATATTTTTAATACTGTAGTAGTTGTCTGCTTAATCCACAGTTCAAAAGAACTTTTCGTGAGCATCAGTTTTTCGTATTTTTTCATTTTTTTTCATTTTTTTTTTTTTAATTTAAGTTAATTGGGCTTAGGTTTTGCATTACGAATAAACTATTTATACACGGAGAAAAAAAACTTCGTGCGTGGGATCCGAAGTTTAGGTCATATGGATCTCTGAAGTTTTCGGATCACGTATCTAAAAACTTGAGGTCCAGCTGCCGGAGTTCAGGTCAGACATCTGAGGTACTTAGGTACACACTGAAGAGTTTCGGTCACACATCTGAAGTATCCAGTACATACCTAAATACTTCAGATGTCTGACCCGAACTTCGGCAGCTCGACCTCAAGTTTTCGGATGCGTGATCAGAGAACTTCAGAGATCCATATGACCTCAACTTCGGGTCCCATGCAGGAAGTTTTTTTTCTCCGTGTGGGTAACCATATTCATGGAACATTGCTCCTAATTTTTAACTTTTATCGGAAGTATGATTAACATCGGGTAAGATTGCTCAGGTTTTTGGAGTAACATAATAGACATATTTCCCTACATAAAATCACGATAGCAAAAGGCACGCTCAGGATAGCGTGTGATAAAATCCATGACCTCAAATGGGTTCGGATCGGGTAGGCAACTAAACTAACTCCATGACAAAGCGTAGAGTATCACACAAAATGAAGGCGCTCTAAGCCGAACCATGTTTTTGAAGGCCATTACGTATCCTTTCAAACCTTCATTATTTCAAATCGCACTATTGCAATTTATCGAAAAAATACGTGAGCCCTTTACGAATCGCCTGCAACATATACTGCCGTGCTCAGGAAAAACACCGTATGAACCTTCAGGCGTTGCCAAATCTCCTTTGATAAAACACGAAGTTTCCTGGTAAACTCAAGAATATTTTCCTTCCAATTTTTCAGGTAATTTTGGTCACTATTTCACCTAAAGTTCCTGAAAATTTCGGAGGAAAACTTTAATAAGTTTCCTCGAAAATAAAAAATTCACCGGGAAAATTTGGCAACTTTCGAATGTTCATACGGCGTTCTTCCTTGGCCCGACAGTACACTCGTCTTAACAAGCTTTCTGTAGAATTAGGAATATGAATAAGTGGAGAAAAGAGAAACTGACCTTTCTCAAGCCGGGGACGTCACCAACGGCAGTGCCGTCGGATCGGATCCAGATGATTTCGGGGGGCGGGTTACCCCTGGCCTTACATTCGACTTCGGCGCCAGTCGTGTTGGAGAAATCAACCCGATTCGGCGGCTCTGTTATAAACACCGGGCCAATCGTCGTGTCCTCAGCACCCGACACTGCTGCAAACACAAAAAAACAAAACATAAAAATTAGTACATCTTTGAAAAAATACGTATGGCATGCAACCACAAAAACGTTTGGCTACAGACAAGAGTTACTAGACCATTAAAAAATGGCTCAGTTGCGCTGGTCATAGAATCATGTATTGATGCTTGATTCTTGTAGATTAGCTGAAAATATTAAAATTCGCCCAAACAGCAATAACTTTCTAAGTTCAATATTAACCGAGATATCGCCCCTTGAAAAGTCGAGTTTTTGACGTCATCCACACAGCGGTAGTGACACCCTTGGTTTCTTCCACCTTGCTTTCATCAGTCGGTGTGACGCACCTTTGCACTGCTTTCTAAACGTGAAACTCAGATGAACTCAAGGTATAAACCGAGGGTGTCACTGTACCGCGGTGGATGACGTCAAAAACCCGACATTTCGAAGCTCGATATCTCGGTTAATATTGAACTTAAAGAGTTGCTGTTTGGACAGTTCTTATTATTTTTAGCTGATCCACGAGAATCAAGCATCAAAACACGATTTTTTGACCGGCCAAACTGACCCATTTTGAATTACTAATACATTTATCTAAAGGTAAATAACGCGTAGAACACGATGCGGACTTTAAAAACGCGAAGGAGTAACTCAGAAACCGAGAAATATGCAGCTCAAAAAGCGCAACTTTTTCTCAAACTTAAAACGCCCCGGTTTCGCGTCAAATGATGTTATTCGGCACCTTTATCAGAGGCAGGCACTGGCACGAGTTTCTATGAATTTTGCCAAATGTCTTTCTACTACTCGTACGAGAAAACATAAGGAAAGTCGAAACTATGACTTCAGAATCAAAGAATAGATTCATATTCATGATACCTATAGTAAAGAAGCAACACTTCCACATTGAAATATGTTTAATTTTAACAGTCATCAGTGGAAGATGAGAGGAGATAGCGATTTGATTTCCGTAGTTCATCACTCCCATTATTTTCCCGGCATTCCGGGGCGTTTGAAATTCCTTCAAGTCTTAGGACATTTTAAAAGCGAGCTTGACAGGGATTTTGGCTAAAAAAATATTCAATAAATCACCACGTAATCTACTCACCTGGTACTTTCAGAATATTAAATAAAAAACCCGAGGTTTAGTGACCCATTAGAAGGAACTGAGGCAAAAATTCACTTTCAATTTTAAAAAGGCCGAAGGACGTTCAGTTCAGTTATTGACTGCTTCATTAAAAGAACGCTGCTTCGGGTGAGAAACTCGATCGGGGAAATTCACATGACTGGATTAGCATATTTTCATCAATATTCTGGATTTCGCATCATTTACATCCGTTTCAATTAGACGCTCGTGAAATAACGAGCTGAAACACACTATCATTTGCGAATAATGGTCTCGATTACGCTTACGAGTTCGCCTGGTGAAAGAAGGCTTATAAGGTTTCTCACCTTCTATGGGTGGTGGAAGGGCAGTTTAATTCTATACTTTGGAAAGGAACATGATAGAAGAGGAAGGAAAGCCATGAACTTTGCAATTCAATACAGTTATTGAACAGAGAACAGAAGTAATTACAAACTGCGACTATTACTGAGATTTCTCACATTTGACGAGTGGCGACTAAAATGAATTCCTTTTTGCATACACTCATAGAGGAGCAGTGACACAGTTGGTTACATTATTTTTGTAGTAATTTACCATTGACAACTACTACAAGTGACGTCTTTGGGAGTGTTTATAAATTACGTAACGCACTTTTTTCGGCAGTTTTAAACCCCATTCCCTGCTCTTTGTAAAACACTTTTGGCCTGTATATTTCGAGCAGTATGGAAAAACAAAATATGGCGTATAGTTCTCCTCGAACCCCCTTTAGAGTATTAGGTAATTTATGAACGGCCACATAGTACTGTATTTTTTTACACATTAAATTACCTTAATTCTAATACTTTGAAAAAATTGCAGCAGGAATATCCTAATTTACAGTATATTCTGCCACGGAAAGTCTGTTCCCTAGAGCCTTTATTGTAGTTTTGTATCGTTGCATGAGATGCTATATTAATTAAAATCTTAGTCAATTTTTTCATACACTTTAAAATTGTTTATTTTTAAATATTTTTTCAATAAAGTTCACCTTACAAGCCAAAATTCAGTCGGTGCAGTACAGCCAAATTAAAAGAGCCCATTTCGAAAAATTGCTTTTCAAGAAAAACGCTTTCAAAGTTTTCATCGGTACTTCCCGGCTACTAACGGTGACTTACATAAGAATGTAGGCCCATTTCTTAGATTAAAGTTTCATTTACCCTAGAATAAAAAAAAAACCATTTGTGAAACTTTGAAAGCACTTTTCTCAAACCACGATTTTCGATAAGGGCCCATTTTCCGGAAAGCTCCTTACTTGTAGGCTAATATCTGACAACGGTGAGCAAAAGCCTAAACCGTAAGAACCGTAGACAGGGCTGGAATTAAACGCAGAGGACTAAGGCAATATCGGACGTTTAGCTTGATTAGGGTTCCTTCCGGACTGGGGCTCGGCGGTGGGAAAAAGTCGTATCCCGGGAAACTCCGGGGGTCGCGGGGATCATTAGACTGATCAGCACCGAAACAGGTAGCTCCGGGCTCCGGGAATCGGGCCCCCTCGCTTCCCCAGGATGAGAGATATCCGATCAACCCTCTTCCCTCTTCCCGAGTCCTACGTAAATCGGTGGATGTTGAAACCGTACATATCCGATATCTGATGAGCCTTGCGTTTCAATAGGGTATGTTCATTCTAGGGGTCACGAGTTGACCGTCATATTCGCTTTTAACATGGACTGATTCAGTTGTTGTCGCTTCCAGGATCCGAGCATCCTCGCTACCCTCCTACGCCTACCCCCGCATTTGCCTTCGTTTTCTTCCCTTTTAAGTACACTTCCAAAGCTTCTTCCGACACTCTACGCAAGGGGGTTGCCAGTTACTGAGCGGGAAGAAACTGATACATGGACGTGTTCTCGGCGATATTCAATATTGGCAAATTGGGACAATCTATGAGCTTCGATGATTCGATGCTGACGAAGCTTTCATCTTGGGGTTGGCATTATTTTCTTTTATGCTTTCCTGACAGATGCTAAAGGTAGACATTAGGATGATGATATCGTATTTTCGTGCAGAACATCATCCGCGCGTTCACATTTATGATTTTAAGTATTTTAGACTGCATACTTGTGAAGAAATTATTCTGAATTCAGAGCGCTGTGGTAAAATTCCTACATACATTAAGCCGCTTTCACAGCGCAGCCTCGCGCTCTGCGACGGCCAATCGCCATTGCCCCCTATCCTCCTGAAGATCATCAGGTGAGACTCATCAATAGGTATTAAGTAATTCAGTTTCGAGACGGACACGCTTGAAACCTCGACTAAAGCGTGAGTAGAAAGGAAGATGTGGAGACAAAGGCTCTCACCCTGATTCCGTTTTGGGCCCGGAAATGTTGAGAGGGGTTGGAGAAAGAAATGCATTGATGCATTTATCCCATCGGGCGTTTCCGGAGTGTTCCAGGTTGTCGTTACGATCGACAGGATCCGGATAATTAAGCAAAAAGTTCCCGATATGAAAATTTCGTTCATTACTCTGCATGAATTATGAAAAACATTTAATGTTACTCTGAATCACTTGTCAGATTAATCAACCGAAAGAAATCAAGCACGAGAAGACGATTTTTTCCCCTTCTTAACAGGAAAAAATGCCGGTATTCACATGAAGCCGCAGTCTACGGCTAGAATGTTGCCGTGGCATTGACGGATCCAACAAATTGGCAACATTGTTTTTCTCCATTTAAACCTATGGAAAGGTATCGATTCTTCGGAGGGCAAGGTGCTCCGACAAGAATCGATTATTTAACGTAGGTTTAAATGGAGGGAATCCGGTGTTGCCACATTGCTGGATCTGCCATGACGTATGTTACAGCCGACGAGAGAGAACTGCTCGTAAGTGGCCGCTGGGCCAGGACCATGAGATGAGCTTTTGATTGAAAGATGGGAGCCTCAAAAAGGAATCGGCCGAGCTGTTCGCGTTCGCCCACTGACCCGGACCCGCGCAAATTCGAAATTCGAGCCGGGGGCCAGTCCTCGTAACATTAAGCAAAGCGTGGGCGCGCTTCACCTGTGCGTCTCAACCGCTGAGACGTTCAAGGCAAATTTGCCAGACTTCGCTTTTTATTTCATTCGAGCCTCGAAATGCAATGGAAAAGCGGTGGTCATAGTGGGCTCTCGCTACCGCTACATCCATAAAGACGGTTCTTGGTTGATTCCGCACGAACTTTAGTGTTAGCGAAAGAGTTTTACCTCTTAAACTTTCGAAATCGAGTTCCCTTTGATATTCGTCTGATCTTTTTTTTTAGATTAAAGCACTGAAATAGCTAAAACAGCAAAATTCGACTTGTTTCTGTGAAAACGAGACACGAGAAAGCCGTAAGTGTATAAAAAATGACTAAATTTCAGACAAAACAGCGTAAAGAGTACTATTCTTCCTGCAGAGAGCCAATGAGATCAGTGCTTTCAAGTAAAATGCCGCCCTTTACTGCCAATTTCTAACCTGAAAATGTGTTCGTTGTGTGTCCGAAAAGCAACTACGAAAGCACGCAGGATAGCACTTACGGCTGTCTTGCCTAACACTAGCCTGACGTAAAAATCAATGATATCCTTCAAATACAATTGAAATAAAATTGGTAGAGTTTTAATCATCCAAACGAATTCTAAGAGTCTTTCGGATGATTGATGGCAATTTGACAAAGAACGGAGGTTTCTGTCGATAAAATTTTCCGCTGAGACGCTGGTAAGCCCATTTTCTCAAAACTTCATTTTTGCAACTATGGCTCTCTTCGCTATCAGAGAATATGATCAATTGGACGTATTTCTGCCAGACAAAACCCTGATGTTCATACATTCTTATGGGTCTTAGGGCTCATGTCTTAATGCACATAGTTCCGTTTGGCAGAAATACATCCAATTTAACGGACAACAATAAAACATACCTATTCATACATG